GAGCGGAGTCGTGTCCTGCCCTGGTGCGTGGTTGGAGCCTGGGCAAGATGCGAGGTGCAGGACACTCTCCAGGGATGCAGCGGCCATCAGGGAACTCAGGTGTGAAGCTGCATGTAAAAGCAAAGCCATGTGGGTTGATTTAAATAATACACAGCCAAGGCACGTAGATACCTAAGCTATGTCCTCTGTGAACATCGTCTAGCGTTAGCACTGTTACGCTTTGAGTGTTTGTCATCCCAGGTAACGCTAAAACACCGGGGATTAGTTTGCAAATGCTGGTTTTTTACACTTCTGCAGCTTAAGTGCAACTGTGGAAGGCTTAACGCCTCCATCCCCAGGCGAGATTTACACCAAGCAGGTGATGGGCTGAGCTTGCTCTCCAACAACCCGGCAAAGCCTTTCCCATGTGCGCAATCCAGCAGTCTTGCGGAGCACTGAGGATGTGCGGCGGTGCTGGCTGTCACTGGGGATGAAGCAGAGCAGGCATGCCTCTGGGACGGGATCCTTCCAGTGCAGCCAGCCCTGGGAAAGGCAGCCGGTTAAAATAACAATTTATTCTGCCTGGTGTCTTGTGGGATGGTGGAAGGATCCCAGAACAGCCCTGCTTGGGTTCCTGCTTTATGTCACAGGAGGGGGGCTGCTCTCCCAGCTGGGGATATTTTAGGGTTTTTCTTACTCTTTTCGCTACTTGGGCCCTTTTTCCTGCCTGTTGGCAAAGTCCGGGTATCAGATGTGTCCCTTGTTTAGCCTGTCCGTTTCCCCTTCCTTGCATATGGAAAAAGAAATTAGAGGCGGGGGGGTGGGGAGGAGAAGAGTTCACAACATTGAAACATGGCTTGAAGGAGGTTATTTGGAGCAGAAAGCTGGGCCCAGGGGTGATGCGCACTGTTAGCCCCCATGGTGGGCGCTGTGCTGGTACCCTTCCCACATCACTTGGTGTCAGAAGTGTTTCCTATAAGGGAAATCCGATTTTATCCCGGGGAAGCTCCCGAAACGGTGGGGAGAACAGTATTTCAGTGTTCACCTTGCAGGATGCTTGCTGTTGTGGGTCGCATGCCAGGTCTGAGTGTGCACCAGGGTTTGCTTTGCTGTGTGCTGGCCTGGGAGAGTGTCGCCGCCTCGTGCCTCAGTTTCCCCAAAAGCAGAGCGGGATGTGGTACCTCAATGCATGACGGAGAAATGCCGGCTGCTGTAGGGCTGTGCCGCGCCAGGGATTTTTGATCCTGTTACAGTAGAAGAAACTCAAATATTTCCTTAAAGCAACCCCAGTGCCACCCTGTTGCATTTTATTTGTTTGCTTTGGCCCGGAAAGTGGGGCAGGGTCTCCCTGGGGACACGCAGGCTGCTGCGGAGCCCCGGGGCAGCAGCCTCTACCCGTGCCACCTCGCTCGTGGGTGGCACCCATGTTTATTTACCTTTTCATCACCTGATTGCCATGCCCTGCCACGTTGCAGGCGCCAGCCCGCGGGCTGCCAGCCCTGTTTGAGTTGGCAGGAGATGGACGTCAACCTCTGGCTAAAATAGCCCGATGCCAGCCCCATGTCTGCCCAGCGTGGATAGGCTTGTTGCGTGCCCTTAGAGCATCTCGTATTGATATTTTGTGGTGGAGCTAGGGCTGCCTGCGCTGCTCGATAACGCAGAGGAGAGCATGCTCTTCCTCTGGTGGGAACAGTCCGGTTACCTCCAGGGTTTGCCACCGGGCACCCATTGCCCTCTACTTTCTTGGCTCTGCTCTCCAAAGCTGCAGTGCAGAAGAGCAGAAGCAGAGAAATTGCAGATATGCGTCCACAAGCTGCAGGTCCCACACCGGGACTGCTCAGCTCAGGAAGCTGAAAATTTATGGTGCGAGTGGGTGGCCCCATTTTGGGATGCTTTGAACAACCGTTATCACTCTCTACCCATGGTGGTGTTATTGCATTTGTCTTCTGGCCTTATTGGGGTGCTTGGGCACAGAGCAGGATCTCTGTGCTGAGTTCCAAGCCACCGGCAGAAGAAAGGGGCTATTCAGGTGCCAGCAGGGAGTTTCCATTTCAGCCTCTCTGTGCTCACCGTGTTGTCCCAAGGGAACTGCAGATTTGGGCTTTTCCTGGTTCCCTGCCTCCGCAGCGGGTTTCCCAGCCGGGTGGGACATGGCAGTGCCGCAGCTCAGCGGAGCGGTGCCAGCTCTGCCCTGCCCGGTGCCACGGGGCTGACTCACATAAAACTTGGGTTTTGGCAAGTGGCAAACCCTCTTATTTCTAGTGAGGCTTTGGAAGTGAGAGGGGAAGGCTTTAACCCCCAAACATTCCTGTTTTCTGGTGGCTTTGATTGATTTAGACCCAAAAATGTGAGTTTATTGTGACTTTCTGCCCTTCTTCTGTGGGTATTTGATGCAGAAGGGGCGCTGAGTTGCCATGTGAAGGGTGGTGGAAGGAGTCACTGATGGCAGGGGAGGTGCTTGGTTCTCAGGATACTCAAAATTGGGGGGTTTGGGGGAGGTGCCTGCAGCAGCATTGCTAATGTCTGGGGTTTGGTGACAACGATGGCATAGTGTCGCTCTGCCTTTGGTGGTATTTTGGCTGGCCACCCTGCTGCACGTGTTTCCTCCTGAGTTCACAGAAACCCATTTTCAGGCTTTAATCAAGCCCTCATGCAAAGTCCCCACTCTGCAAACGGCATCGCTGCGGCTCTTCATGCAAATGCTGCGCGGGAGAAGCACTTAAGAGGACCATGGCATTTCGGGTGGCTGCTCGGGGTGGAAAGTCACCCCTGGGCACCCCGGCAGAGCCCAGACCTGCGGGAGCCCCAGCCGCCTCCCTCGGGGCACCCCCCTGCCCCCAGCCCTCTCATCTCGCACGTTCGCACCCTTAAAATGGAGCCTGGATGGAAATAGCAGCAGCAGATCTCTTCTACTTTTAATTTTGGTGGCTCTCTGGGCCAGGGAGAGGAAACAGGGGGTGGAGAGGAGCCGGCTGCAAAAGGGAGAAGAGCCACTTTCCTTCTGAGGTTGTAGAAACGGTAAAACCCCCCCCAAATTTTTTTTTTTTTTTTTTTTTTGCTATAAGAATAATTATAGGCGTTACGTACTGGTCTGTCTGCTCCTTGCGATGGTGGGGGGCTGGAGTAGCCTTATCTGGGAGAGACATGAGCTTAAAACAACTCGTAGTAAACTCTGTGAACATGGAGGAGCTGATGCAGTTCGAAGCGTAAAAATGTTCAGGCTTTTTGTTTTCACTGGTTTGTTCAGTGAAGGTGGGTTTGGGTTTTGGGTTGGTTTTTTGGGTTTTTTTGGGTTTTTTTCTTTCATTTGTCTGAATGAAAATAGATGATGGAAAACAGCCGAGCCAGTTTCGCTTCCTGCTCTTGCTCCAGGCTCCGTGCTAGGGGTGCATGGAGACAACCCCGCGTTCGGTCCAGCGACGGGGGCACCGAGCACGTCTGCCTTGGGCCAATTCCTCTTGAACTTCAGCCCGTCCCTTATTCCCTGCCAGAATCACAAGGGGTTGGAGGAACATCTTGTTTTGTTATCACTCCATGGGGTGCAGAAGTAGGTGGCAGACAGCGGAGGCTTTGGGACAGCTCTTCGGGAGGTTTATGCCTGAACTTTTCCCTGTTGGGAGGTTTGGGGTTGGGGGGGCTCTGACTGGTCCCCTCCTGCCCTGGAGTACCAAAGGATGGAGGCGGTGGGTGCCCTGGTGCCACCTCACCTCGGTGCTGGGGCCCCGCTGTCCCTTGCAGCCTGGTGCGATGCCTTTGAGCCGCCAGCACAGCCCTCCCAAGGGTTCGCTGATGCATGGCTCTGGCTTTGGTTTCTCCATCTCCAGCAAGCTCCGCTGTGCTCAGCAAATCCTGGATTTCATAGAATCATACAGTCGTTTAGGTTGGAAAAGCCCTTTAGGATCATCAAGTCCAACCGTTAACCCAACACTGCCATCCCACCGCTAAACCATGTCCTTTTCCGTCAGCCAGCTGCAATGTCCACATTCCCCACCTTGGGGCGGTTGGCAGAGGGTTTGGTCTGGCTGCGAGCTCCCCTGGGAGCTGCTCCACAGGTAACCAAAGGATTCACCCCAAATGCAGGAACAGTGGGTGCAGAGACACCCACCCATGCCGGCACCCATCAGCAGCCAAAACTGGGGGGGTCATTCCTGAGCCCTCCCTGGGTGCAGGACCTTGCAGTCCTTGGCCAAACCTCGCCCACGGCAGGGCCAGCACATCCTCTACTGCATGGGGGAGGAAGCAGGGGCAATGTCCTCGGTGGGTACCAGGGTTTCTGCATTGTTCAGCAGCCGTGGGACCCTTCAGTGCATGCAGCGTGTGAATGTAACGGTGATCCCACAGGGTCCTGGGAGTCTCGGGGAGACCGTGACGGGTGTTCAGGAGCCCTTTGGGGTTTTTTCAGGTTGTGCAGGTGACTGGGCTCGGGTTTGGCTGGGAGCAGTGTGGATGGAGGCTCTGCACCCACCGGGGCAGATTCAGGAGGATGGCTTGGACCAGCTGAGCATCGGCTTTGGAATTCTTTCCTAGAGCATTGCAGGCTGTAAAGTACAACTGATCGATAGGAAACATGGTCTGAAAGTTACAGTCCCCAGCAGGGCCATATCAGATTTCTGGTTTTATGGGATGGTTGGACCTCTGTGTCCTGGATTTGGAGAGGGCAGTCCTGAGGAGTATTTTTTAGACAGGCTGAGTGCAGGAATAAATGCTGCCGGAGCCACTTGCAGCAGGGAAATGAAGTTTCCCTGGTGTGGGGAGCGTCCAGCGGTGCTTGCTTGGTGTCAGACTGAGAAGTTCGGTGACAAGCTGTCTTGATGTGGGAAAATGTGCAGGACAGGTTGCGTTTTGGAGTACTGATGGACTGCTGGGGCGTAAGGGGAGTGATTGCTAGTCTGGGCCCAAATCACTAATTAATCCTTTTACTTTTATCATTTTTTACTTTTGTTACGCTTGCTGGGCTGTCGATGAAAACCCGCAGAGCTCCCCGCAGAAGAAGGTAAGTCATGGGCTGGAGGTGAGGGTGGGTACGTGCCTTGAGCCTGGCTGGAGGGTGCTGGGGTCGAGGAGCGGGGAGTCTTTGGGCTCTTTAATCTTGGTTTTAATCCCAGGGAGAGTCGGGCTGACAGCAAAGCTTTCCTGTGATGGCAGGGCTACTGGCTGTGAATAGAAACACAGAGGATTTGGTTTCTGTAGTTAAAACCAGACATAGTAAAACCAGGCCAATGCCAGAAATGAAGGTGTTTAATATTGGAGAGAAAAATCCCCCATTGCATTGCTGGATGTCCTCGCTGGTGCCCATGGCCGGGCACTGGAGCAGCTCTGCTGCAAGTGGGGGCCAGGGTCCTGCTGGTCGTAGTGGCCTCGGTGGTCTGAATTACCTGTCTTCAGGGGTTTTTTTGAGCACTGACTCTGCTTGGCTTCGTGTTTTCCCACCAGGAAAGTCCCTCTGGGAGTTGGTGCTGGAGCAGTTTGAAGATCTCCTCGTCCGCATCCTTTTGATGGCAGCTTTTCTGTCATTCGTAAGTACCCCAGGCTTGGGGATGGGCACCCACTGGGGCATGAATGGACCCGCGTGGCCACCGGACAGCAATGGAGCCAGTGGGAAGGTGCATGTTGGATGAAGGGGATGTAGCAGCGGTGCAGTGGTTTTCTAGGGCATAGTGACAATCGCGTTGTGTTTATTTAAAAGATGAGACTAGGATTTTTCAGTATTGCCGATCCACCCAAAAAGCGATGTTGAAAAACTACCTGGACTTCTTTCTGTTTCCCCAAGAGTGCACCAGACAAAGGCAGAAAAGGGCTGTGGAACGGTTCGGTCCTGGGCATGTTTTGGTGGGATGGGTGCTGGCCCTGGGCACCGTGTAGGGTTTGGGTTGGGAGAGAGCAGGCGCAGAGCCGCAGCCAGAGTGGAGCTGTGGAGGGGCTGCCCAAGGCAGGTGAGGGCTGCCCAAAGCTTTCAGTCCTGGCACATTTTTTCCTGTCATCCATCGTTTTTTGTCATTTTCTGCAAGACCCCACCTGAGGTAGCACGGGTCCTTTGGACATGGCTCCATCTCATTGCAAGATATTTATTAAGAAAGTTTCCTATGTTTTTAGGTTAGAAGGTACCTTTGTTACTACCGCTTTTACCTTCCCTCTTAAATCCGTGCTATGTCTTCCCTTCATCATTTTTCATGCTGTGAGCTTTCCTGCACCCCGTACTTGCTGTCACGGCTGGTGTTTGGACTGAGGTCTGTGCTCAGGCTCTGATTTTAATTCTTACTGATTGCTTTTCAATGCCATGTTTCATCCAGTACAACACGTCTTGTGCCTCACCTTGTGTAGATGGTTAAAACAGAAAGAGAAAGGGTTTTTTTTTATTTTTATTTTTTCCTTTTTTGAAAGTATTAAGTGTCAGCATGACCAGGCCCATGTCGGGATCCACTAAAATGGAGGACAGTGTCTCTGACACACAGAGGTGTGCGTGTCCACAGTGCAGATACATTTCTGGTGTAATGGCCAAGCCGTGTATCCTTGGGGAACTGGGAGGTGCTGGGGGTCCCGGCACCACCTCCCTGCATGCCTGGAGAGGCTGACGGATGTCGCACAGCTTGCTTTTTCTTGGGCAGAGCGCTGGGCGATGGCTGATGAGAGGTGAGAGCAGCACTTCAGGCACCTGAAGCCTACTCAGGAGCCCCATGTATCACCTTTACCCCGTTGGGGTGCAGGCAGCGGGGCAGGCACCTGCCTAAAGGGCACGCAGCCGTGTATGCAGGCAAAGACGGGGCCGGGAGCCTTTCCAAAGCCCGTGCGGCTGCCCTCCTTGGAGAAGTCTCCTTTCCAGAGCCCTTCTGCTACTGCATGGAAGCGTTCACATTTTGAAAATTGAAAATGAAAATCCAGTCTGTTGTTTAGTTATTAATTATTCATTTTTCCCCTCCCTCTGGCTGAGCGGGGCTGGCAACATTGTGGCTGCCCTCCTGCCTGCTGCTTGCTGCCTTCCCGTCCTGCCCACATGGCTGGGAGGGTTCAGAGGTCCGGGGCTGGTGATGCCCAAGCTGGTGACACTCAGGGCAGATTTCGGGGCTGGCTGGGCACAGTGCGGGGCATATAGCTTTCCTTCACACCTTTGCTGGTGCGTGGGGCAGGGTTAATGCTTGCTGACAAAATATGCCTCCCAGCGTGTTGTGCAGTAGGAAGACGTGACGTTATGTTTGGGTAATGCCAGAGAGCTGCTTAGGGTTGGGTTTTGCTTGCATTTAGCAGGGTGTGAAGCCCAGCCCAGGCTGCTCCTGCCACCAGAGCTGCTGGTGGCCTTCACGGTGTGGTGCCTTCACGGTGTCCCTGGTGCCATCCAGCCTTTACTTCCTCAGCTGGTGTTATTGCTCATCTTCAAACAGTTCTTTCTTCAGTGGCAAACCTCCTGCCACTGAAGAGAGAAGCGCCCTGAAGGGCTGCTCTTCCACCTTCACTGGGGGAGAGGCTGCACCCCGACATGCCTTTCCCTGGGAGGAGCCATGATTGACCCCCAGCACCTCCTGCGGGCACAGAGCAGCTTCTCCTCCCCAGGGTAGAGCCAGCCGGCAGCGGGTGCATCACCGGACTGGGTAAGCTGGCACCCGTGAGTGCTGCCGGCCTCCACCACGCTGAGTAGTGCTGCGAGGTGATGTGGGATCAGCTACACAACGTCCACGTGATTGGCGAAGTTGCCTTTATGGGTGGCACCGAATAATTGCACTTTGCACTTGCGCCCCATGGTGCCTTGGAAGCGCTCATCATCAGCGGCACCTTGCTCCCCGATTGCTGATGTGAGCCTTACTTGTGGTGCCCAATTACTGAGCTTTTAGCTCAGTTTTGCCCACGATTTACCTTAGGAGCAACTCTGCATGAGGAGATGTTTCCCACTTAACCTACTGGAGAAATACTTACTTTTTTGAGTATGCTCAGAGTGCTTGGCAGTGGGATGGCAAAGCCGAGTCTCATGTCCCCTCCTTCCGGATACGACTCGTGGGCAGATAAGGAGGGAGGCTGGTCCCTTGTGAGGTTCAATACATTCCTGAAACAACAAGCAGCGACCCATTTGCTGGTGAATGTGCAGAGCTGTTGCAATCTGCTTGATGATAGAGTCTGCCATGGCAGCTCTGCTAATTGGTAAAGCAGACGTGAACCCGTGATGGTGCCTCTGCTGCAGAGCAGCAAGGTGTTGCTATGTTGACACAGCACAGGTCGACAAACAGTTAAATGGAGTGAAAATATCTGTGTGCGCATGTGCTTCATTTGTAGTATGGTGTGGGGTCTTTGTGGGATGTTGAGGGGGCTCGGGGTGGTAAGAAGCCACAGGTCAGTCCCTGCTCTGCTCCAGCCCTGCTCATTTGATGCATTGGGTTATCCCCAGCAGAAGAGCAGAGACACCTGAGTTAAGCACTGGCAGTGGGGTATGGCAAGGCCATGCTTTAACCAAGCTGTGCGGGGCTGGCCACCACTCTGGGTTGTCTCATCTCCAGCAAACACCATGCGTTGGTTGGCTCTTGTTTTGTCCTTTTTAAAATGTTGGCACTTGCTGTTTCAACCACGTTGTGGTCCTTCTTGTCTCTTGCCTACCAGATCCTGGCCTGGTTTGAAGAAGGAGAGGAGACCACGACGGCGTTCGTGGAGCCCATTGTCATTATTATGATCCTGATCGCCAACGCCGTGGTGGGCGTGTGGCAGGTAAGTCGCAGCACCCCCTGGCTGGCCCTGCAGGTCTCTGCTCCACATGGCTGAGACGCTTCATTTGAAGGTCTGGTCGCTTCCTGCCCATGGAAACTCATTTCTCAAAGGTTCAATTTTCGTGTTGGCTGTACTGCCCTGTGCCCCAGCGCAGATGCTCAGTCGTTGGCTGCTGCTTGGCTCGTTCCTTCAATTTTTCTTGGCAATTTCTGCAGTTTGGAGTTTAGGATCTTGTACTTATTTGCCATCCAGGCAAATCCTGCTTTGCCTCCTGGCCATGGCCAAATGCATTTTCCAAGGGAAGCTTTTTGCCCTGTCTACCAGAAAGCCACAGTGGCTGCTGCACCTCGCCTCGCTGTATCCCTTCTGGGGGATGAGCAAAGGCCTCAGCCAGCGATGGTCCTCTTCTTGTATATATTCACTTTAAGGCCACTTATTTATCTGCAGCTTGATCTGCTGGATGGGGAAAAATATATCTGGGTGGGATACCCTGCTTCCCAAACCAAGAATGAGAAAATCAAGCCCAAAGACCCATGCAGTGTCCAGGACCTGGTTTGGTTTAAGCCAGTGGGGACCATTTCAGAGCAGCTGAGGACTCAGCGCTTGTCCCATCCGTGGTGCAAATGGACGCCAAAGCCAGGGCTGGGGTGTGGGTGCTCCTGTCGTTGCAGTGGGTGGGGAAGGAGCCTGCTGGCACGAGCAACCCCACCACCGGCAGCTCTGCTCCTCCTCTGCTTGCAGGAGAGAAATGCTGAGAGTGCCATCGAAGCCTTGAAGGAGTATGAGCCGGAGATGGGGAAGGTGATCCGTGCCGACCGCAGTGGGGTGCAGCGGATCCGTGCCCGGGACATTGTCCCTGGGGACATCGTGGAGGTGGCAGGTAGGGTGCCATCATCCCAGGGCATGGGGCGGGATGGGGAGGTGGTGCTGGCCGGGGGAGGGTTGGTGACGGGCACCCCATGGTCCTGGTAGTGGGAGGGCTCTGCTGCAGCGTCCAGGTGCATCTTCTCTGGAGGCGTGGCCGCCAAGTCACCTCGTTTTTGTATGCTTGAGATCTTAGTTTCTCTTTTAAGATCCAGAGAGGTGAAATTATTTGGGCAAAAATTTGGGCTCATCGGCCTTCCAAGGCTTCGTCCCGAGCATAGGATGGTGGAGAACAGCAGAAAAGGGGAAAAAAAAAAAAAAAAAAAAAAGGTGTGTATTTCTGGTGCAGGTTTTGTGTCTCGGGAGTATTTCCCCATTTTCTGGAAGAACTGGAAGAACTTTTAGTTTTCTGCCAAGATTCCCTCTCTCTGGAAGTGGCTCTCCCACGTGCATCCCCCCGATGAGGCGCGGGTGAAGGGCTGGTGCGGGGTGCCGTGCCAGCGGTGCCAGGCGAGCGCTGCTGCCAGCGCGGGAGGGTTCAACGGTGCAGGCAGCGGTGTTGGTCCTGCCTGCGTGGGCAGGCTTCCGTGGTAACTGGGGGTTGTTATTCTGGGAGGGCGAGGGGCAGAGGGGACCGGCTGCAGGGCGCTTTTGCCTCCCGGGTCAGGCTGTCCCTCCCAGCTCTTCCGTCGGGGTTTTGCATTCAGCCAAGGATGCGTGGGGGTCTCCTGCCTGCCCCACCAGCGCTAAAGAGGATGCATTTCAATTATCCCATTTTGTTTGTTTGTTAAATAATGCCATAAACCCCCAGAGCTGCAAAACTAATCCTCTCCTTTCCTCCTCGTGGCCCTGCTAGTGGAAACATGCTGCAATCCCTCCCGCGCTCAGCCAGCTCACTGTTATTTATGTCTTCCAGTTGGACTTCAGCTGGAAGATGAACATAAAAATAATGTAGGGAGGATCAAGCAGAGGAGTGCCAGCCAGATCCTCAGCTGGGCGAGCTGGCGGCGGTCCCAAGCCAGCTCCGGCAATGCACTCCAGCTGCTGACCTGGCCTTTAATTAAATTATTTGTTTGTTAATGAATTAAATTCTGCCATCTCTCCCCAAAACAAGTGCTTGCTGCCTGCCCATCAATGGCTGAATATTATGCTTTTCT